CAACTTTCACGTTTCCCATCTTCACTCATATCTTCTTTGACGATGAATCCTCTCCCCGTCTTTGGACGAGAAAAACACACACAGCACACACGTTTCACCACACGTTTCACTGTTCGGCCAAACAACAAAAACAAATAAAAAGAGCACACATGACATACTGTCATACTGTTGTGTATATCCCATTCCCTGTGCCCGGTGGATGACGATGGTTGCAGGCCTTTCCATTCAAATAAGTGTTCGACTGTGGGCAGACCCGACTGTGAGAGGAAATGGGGCAAACCCAAAATACACATTTTAGTTTGGATTAAATATCGACCAATTGCCTACATGAGAAGCCGTTCCTCTTTTCGGGGTCCGTAGACGTCTCCCTTAGACCTTCTGCTGGGTGATCCGGTTGAAGAACTTCAAGTTAGACCTAACCCCCCCCCCAACAGAATATATTGGGCATGGGTGGGCTATGTTTGAAGGCAACAAACCGCTATTTTACCCCAATCAACCCCTCCTCTTTCGCCTATCGGGACGTCTGCGACGCCTCACCGGACGCTCACCGGACGACCACCAGCACCTTAAAGTTGGGGATGTACTCGTGTTCTGCCTTGGCCATCCAGTTCACCTGCGAAAACCGCCGTGCCACCGAGCCGAGCACGTCGGTCTGTCGGTCCCGTGCCTGTCCTCGAAACACCCGCTCTGCTCGGATACGAACCCGCTCGACGGTCCGAAGAACTGAAGGTGTGCTGGTCAGCGCCATGGGAAAACACATGGATCATTCACGACTCTACCAGAAATACCGCGCCTACATTCCATAGACAAGACATCCAAATCATTCCAAATCACTTGAGAGAGGACGGGGTGAACGAAAGGTAGCAGGCAATCACAAGTAACCCTGGTAGAAGTCCACGACGGCGTGAACCGGCGCAGGGGGGATTTGATCCAGGGGGGGGGGCCCCCCCCCCCGACGAACAGAATCAACTCTTACAGGACCAAATTCAATGCACAATCTCAACTCCTGATTGTAATACATTTTTGCTAAAGCAAGGAAAACTCAGGTAGCTCAAGCTACCTTTCGTGACTTACCCGGGGGTTCTTGTAAGAAAGCCTGCTCATTTCTCAGGTTCCGCAGCTGTCATCTATGTGAGAGACGTGCTATACGGACAGCGCATCGCTCCTGTCTGGACACACCTGAAAACACGGAAACACTCCCCCAAAGTGCCTGATTACTGTTGCAGTGCGGAGCATCGTCCAATCCAACTCTATAGTGAAGAACGGAAATCACTCCTTGCATGCCCAACCAACCTCTCGATGTTCACTCCTTGTCTCCTTCAACGAACCCGTCGGCTCAATCAAAACGTGACAAAACCCCGAGTCAGTCAGTCACTGCCCCATGTACCCACACCTCCATCTCTATGCCTCCATTTCTCCCCCCGCCGAGCTATTTCTAGCCGTCCGATCCTCCGTTTCCCCCCGCGGGCTTTTTCTCTTTGGCGTCTTCGCAGGTCGGGCGCTCCGTCACTCGCCCATGGGCAGCGGCGCAAGGCCTCGAGCCTCGCGCGCCTCAGTGGACTCTCTCAGCAGGTTCGCCTGGCGTAGTCGACCCAGGCGATCCGAAGGCGAGGGGCGAGGGTCCCGGGCCGTTTTGAAGTCCGAAAGAAACATGGGAAAGTCATGGAAAGCCGATTGGTTCAATGTTCAATATGGGTTTCGATTTGATCCATTGGTCCTTTCTTGGGTTGGTTGAGCAGGGTTTTGGGGACACCTAGCTAGAAAGCAATACAAAGGACATCCTGGCGGAGAGTTTGCATCATTTGTGACCAAACAACCACGCCTTTTTGAAGAATCGTAAGTTAAAGAGGTCACCCAAGCATCTACTTGCGTAGGCCGACGAATCGTCAACGAATGTATCTCCCTCCACGTTTGGCACTTCACCCGGTGAAAACAACGGAGCTTTTCCCCATGAAATGACGTCAATCTGAGCCGGAGAAAGTCACCGATCGGATCTCGTTTCTTTCGCGTGAAACTGATTCCGAGTTGGCGCAGGTGCAATCGCGGGCATCTGTTCAACCCTGACAGGATGGTGGGATGTGAACATCCAATCCAAGGCCGCCGCCGACATGGAATTCCGGCCGCCGACATGGCTTTTCTTGCGCCCCGATCGATCGGTCACCTTTTCAGAACAAAGAGTTAACACATACCAGGGCCCTAAGGGGTGGTTAATGATAGCTCCTTAGAGGTTGAGGGATGTCCATTAACCACCCCTTAGGGGACCTTGGTACTTGTCATCGTGTCTTTTCTGAAGCCAACTAGAATCCATCGTTGACGCCAAAGGATACTTATCACGATGAAGAAACACCACCCTTGTTCACAAAGGGTACGCATCTATCACAAAAACCTACAGTTGGAAGGACTTGCAAATGGACATGTTCTACCGTGGCTGGGTGTCAAAACCTTCGCTATTTAAAAAACATGTTGTGATTAAAAGTGTGCTAAGCATAGAATGTTTTACATGATATCTATGTGCCAAGTACTTGAGTCCTGTAACAGGGCTAGCTAAAAGTTACAAGCACAGCATAACTATAAAGTAAACAAACCGGTAAATACAATTAAATACAAAATCACAAACTAGCTCGAACTTCAATTGAACCAAAACAAACATGCCTTTCTTGCAGTGTTGTTTTCAATCAGTTACCCAACGCTGCAGCCACGGACCACACCCAGCTGCGGCCTTGTATTGGTCAATGAACTCTTGACGCGCCTGACCGGAGGCGTCCGGTCGGTGTCGGCCGGTGTGTGTCGACCGCGGAGCGGTCAGCGGAGACGCCGCACGGTTCGCACGGTTCGCACGGGTGCCTTGTAATAGTCGAACTGCCGTGTGGAATCGAGCCACTTGAGTTCCTGGAAAGGCGAGGGAACTGCGGAGTGGGAGAGGCCAGGTGGATGGAACTGAAGTGAAGGAAGCATCATGAAATCCTATATAGCCTTTTTGGTGAATGGGGGGAGGTACATCGATGTACATCGTATCACGGAACATGTCACCAAACTCAGGTGCCTGCCCCCAACCAAGTTCTCAACCTCGCAAACACACACACACACACACCTCCATCTAACTTCGGTCCATTCTGGATGTGTCTGGATGTCCCTGGTCCTGGTCCTCTTCCCTTGAGACTCTGGTCGCATCACGGTACCGAAGCGGCCCGGTGTGCGGCGGCCCGGAACCGGCCGGAGAGGGTGTAGTGAGGGGTGGTGGGTGGCGGCCTGAAGAGCTAACACAACATGACAACAAACAAGTCCATATCAGCCTGTTGGAACTGTTACTTGCCGCATTGACTGGTCCTGCCGCTGCCTCCAGTCAATATCTGTTCTTACTTTCATCTTCTAAACAAGTCCTGTTGTTACCGCCTGTGCCTGGCTGCATTGGAGACAATTTTCCACGAGGCGGTTCTTTGGGTTCTTCTTAGAGTCCACGAAGCGCAAAATGGCGATCGTTTGGTCCGGAAAATGGTCGTATTGACACAAGTCGACCCAAGCATTCCTGCCCCGGAGTATTTCATGGGCCCCAGAGCTTCGTAGTCCCATTTTCATCCATGTTCAGTGCAACCAAAGTCGGGTCCAGGTAGTACCCAGACCATCCATGTATGGTTCCATTGACCCCCTTTATACCCCTTTTCAACCACCCCTGGCAGTCCCAAAACAGGTCGGGTCCAGGTATTCTTGGGGTGGTTTCTGGTCAATGCGTATGCATGTATTCCATAGTCCCACGGAGTGGGTACAGCCTACGTCGGCTTCCCAGCGTCTGGCTGCTTATCCTATGCTCGGAGGCGAGGCAAATGTCCTGTTGTCTCATCTTGACGCGAGGGGGCCTCGTTTTTTTGTTGGAAGACATGTTGCTTCGCGCAGGTTCGTAGAGGATCCCATGTAACTGGGAGCGCGGTCGGGTTGAGGCTTCATGGAGACCTCATGAAAGTTTCAGAAATGGGAGGTGATTGGCTGATTTGTTGGTCCCAGCTATGTTAGAAAGCGTAATCTTGGAGGTCGAGTTTTTTGGGTTTCTTGCCCAGCTTGTGCTGATAGCAGCTCATCTTCCGAACATGGGTGAAGCTCTTCTCCTCAACTATCAGGAATCTAAAAAGCAACAACTCACCCCCCCAAAGAAAAGGAGACAATCCGTGTCAGGAAATCACTAACAAAACATTCACGAACCAGTATCATGACCGCTGTCCGCAAACATGTAAAACCTCATGCAACGTCTGAAACGACCTCTCAAAAAAAACATCAAGCCACAACACAATATACCCAACCACACAAATGCACTTTTGGTCCCGACCCGACCCAAAAGCATCTCTCAAGATGCCCTCCTGGCGGTGCCAAAAAACGGCTCCGGCTGCAAAGGTAGGGCGCCCATTCCCTCTGCATTTGCGGACTGACCTGAGTTGGCAGCGGAAGGGCTGAGTTGGCAGGGCGCAAAGAAATGCAGTTGGATCCGCCTTGGACTCGAGAGTAGAGTTGTACCTGGACCCAACTGACCTTTGGAATAGACTACAACCCTCATGATGACATGACCCTTCGTTGTGTACGACCCTTCCGTGCGCGGTCTTTTCTGGCCCCCACCACCTCCACGGAACGAACCCGGGCCGAGTCCGCTCTGTTGAAACACCCCAACCGATCGGTCAGTATGCCATGGAGTGTCTGGGAAAGCTCTCCAGGCAAAGCTGTCGCAATGAAGATGAATGTAAGATTGAGGTCTTACAACCCAGAAGCTGACAGGTTAAGAACGTTAAGAACATGCGCTTTGCATCTGAGGAGTTGAACATAAATCCGGGTGCGCGTGGTGTGGATAGTACCAGAGCAGGATTGAGTGCCCAGGTAAGCACCATTTAGGACAATGTTGGGGTGTGGAATATGATGCTGATGATTTTGGCCGAAACATCCTTGACTGTTTGGGATCGCCCAGCAAATTTCCATCACACAAAGTTCTGTGTTTCACCAATAGTCAAAGCTTGGGGACTTGGACACCCAAACAGAAAAGAACACACGACCGTCGTGTTGGTGAATTCTGGAGGATCCTGGATCGATGATTCAACACGTCCACCGTCCTGTCCGCGTGCGGCTCCATGCATAGGTGATTCTGTGCTACATTCCATTTGGTAAAGGACAAGTTCATCGTGGGAATCTAAGTTGGACTTTCAACAGTTTCACCAAACACATCGCTGTGGCCGGTGTTCCTTTCAGACCGGACATGGACGTCCGTCTACATGAAGGGCACAGAAAGAAGTACTATCTTTGGGTCCAAGGCAAACCATGACAAACATGTCTTCTAAGCCTGACCAGGCCATGTTTTCTGAGCCTTACCAGATTCGATGTGGTTGTGTTCTTCTTTTTGAGACTTCAACAGGAGCTCTGTTGGAAAAGGGTGTCTTCCCCTTGAGAGACACAACCCACATTGGACTTCCCAAGCGCGCGTTTCTGTGCCAGCGCCAGGCGCATGTCACCCGACAGCGTCTTAGGTACCTCAACACCGTGGTGGAGACCCACGCGGGGAGGATTTGGGGGTGGAGGGGACCACAACACAAATGAAACACATGAGTCATCGTTCATGAAACACAAACCTGTTTGTTCTATCAAAAGCAAAGAAAACAACATCTAACTGACAACCGCTGACAAAATGCTGTTGCACTGATGCTCACATGCTGTTCCTTTTAGAGACAAACCATGACAATTGAATTCTACCAATGATTCTACATCGAAAAGTAGCCAAATGCCTTGTGTTCCATCCAATCATCATGCTAGTACACAACCCTTCAGCTGCAAACAACACGAAACAAACAATACAGTACCTGATACCCCAAATATTGCAGCAACCAATGACTCCCCCATTCCTATGTCTGTGTTGGCAGTTGCCTCCAATTGCCTCCAACAAATTAAAGCTTGTTTTCGGGCCTTCTGCCAAGCACTCTGTCAAAAAAAGCAAGATCGAATCCATACGCCCCAGCAAGGCCAAGAATCACCCGCCCTGAAAAGCCTTTGATGAGAACATGCTAGCTGCTAGCTTAGCAAAGCACGCATCGGAAGCGGACCTCGTCCCGCGGGCCCCAAAACAACTGATACGTGTATTTATATCAAATTGGTTCATCCAACGGTCGACCGTTGAACTGCTGTTCACCAATGGTCGTTGAGGAGTCCGTCTGCTAGCTTCGCTCGCTTCGGGGAGGGCCTCTGAAATGATTCGAATGACTTGTTCATCTTCCACATGGGTTTTGCACATGGGTTTAACACATCCTGGCCATCCTCATTGATGTCATCAACACGTCTTTGGTCTTCGGTTTGCGGTCTGAAAAAGAACTGCGCCTTCCCATAGATGTAGAGCCAGTGGAACCACTCCTGGAAGCTGGGAGATTCAGAGCTGGGCATTCCAGCAAGAGTTCCAGGGAGAGACAGCGCGAAGCAGCAGCAGATGCTAATGTTCAATATCTGTGACCGGAAACAAAACCGTCTTGACTTCAATTGGGAATCTTCACTCACACTCATACCGACACCAGTGGGCTCCAGAAAAATAGCTACCCTTCCTTACCCTTCCCCGTTCTCGATGCATGTCACTTGGTAGAGTTGTCTTGGAGAACACCATAAACGCGGAGGTCGCCAGGTCGTCGCTCTGCGACTCGACACCTTCGACGGAGTTGGATGGACTGGTGTGACGAAGAAGGGAATGAGGGAATGGATTTGATTGGAATCCGGAATCTCTCGAAGCTCATTCCCGAGGTCATTCCCTATATCCCAGTCGCACCGTCGCACCAGCTCAGTTCTTCCATTTGAAGCGAAGGACTGCAGATCGAACGCACCCACCGACGGAGAGCGAGTCCAAGGGATATGCAGTGCATCAAAACAAACGTAGCCAAACACAGTCAGCAAGTCCGGTGGTGTCAGCAGGTTAAATACAAAGAAAACCGCATAAGAGCGCCAAACCACATAGACATTTAACGTGGTCATTTCAACAATTCGTGTAGTGATTCCCCCTAACTACAAAGTACACCTTATCCTAAATGGACATTGAAAAAACACACACTACTTTGTGAACTTGCGTCCAGGTCCCAGGGAAGCACGAGGTCCTGCAAGGGTCCAGGTGTTAAGTTGCTTGAGTTTAGTGTTTTTGCTCGCAAGAAGTGTTTTGCACCAATGTTATTTGGAAAAAAATGAAAGAAGTGTTTTGGTGTTTCCGTGGCCAAGTCTTAAAACACTTGCACAACCAATAACCATTCGACCCTTCTTCTCACCCTCAATACCCTGAAACACTACAGCCATCAGTCACAAATTCCCAAAGCGCAAGCACCAAATGCCGTTTTTTAAACAAAAAATGCAAGCAGTCTCACTAATCCAAAGATCAGCTCTTCTTGAACAGCTTTCGCAGGTCTTCAAACAAACTTCCTACAAAGTGTTTACAAAGTTTTGGATCTTTACAAAAATTTGACAAAGTTTTGGAATTACAATTTTTTACCGAGTTTTTGCATTACAAAGTTTTAACAAAGTCTACAAAGTTTAAAGATAGAAATAACAAACTTCACAAAGTTTTTGGACACTTACAGTACATTGAATTTTACAAAACTTTGGAACTACGAAGTTTTTACAAGGTATTGAACCTTTAGATATCTGAACAAAGCTTTGGACATTTATCAAGCTTTGAACAAGTTTTGGAATTTTACAAAGTTGTTACCAAGTTATTGAGTTTGAAAGTTTTTACAAAGCTTTTACAAAAGTTTTTGATGCTTACAAACTTTCTACAAAGTTTCGGTTTTTCAATCTGTGTCAAAACTTTGTAAACTTTACTATTTGAAAACTTTGCAAAACGTTGTAAACTTTGTAAGAACTTTGTAAATACTTTGTAAACTTTGTAAAAGCTGTGTAAGCTTTGTAGAAAATTTGGTGAAATTCTAAAACTTTGTAAACTTTCAAAACTCTGCAACAACTGTGTAAAGATTGAACAAATTTTGCAAACTTTGTCAAAACTTCGTAAACTGCTGTTAAAATTGTAAACTTTTTAAACACTGAAACACTTTAAACTTCGTAAACCTTTGTAAAAACTTTGTACACTTTGTAAAACTGTGTAAAAAACTGCGAAAACTTTGTGTAAAAAATTGTAAAATGCGAAAACTTTGTCAAAACTTTGTAAAACACTTGTAAACTTTGTCAAAACTTTGTGAACTTTGTCAAAAAGTTTGTAAACATTGCAAACTTTGTACACTTTGTACTAACATTTTGTAAACTTTGTAAAAATTTTTTAGATGTTGTAGGCCTTCGTAAACTCTATTTAAAAAGTAGCACTTTGCAAACTTTGTAAAACGTTTTTAAACTTCGTAAACTTTGTCAAAGCATTGTAAACATGAAGACCTTGTGAACGTTGTGAAAACTTTGTAAACTTTGAACACTTTGTAAATTTCCTCAAAACTTTGTACAAATTGTGAAACTGTACAAACTTTGTAAAAACTTTGTAAAATGTGGAAAGAAACTTTGTAAACTTTGCAAATAAATAAACTATCAAAACTTTGTAATTGTTGTCAAAACTTTGTAAACTTTGTCGAAACTCTGTAAACTTTGCAAAACTTCGTAAACTTGGCAAAATCTTTGTGAACTTTCCAATATCTTCAAAACTTTGTAAACTTTGTAAAAACTTTGTAAATTTGTGTAACAAAAGGCAAATGTCGCAAACTTTGTCAGAACGTTGTAAACTTTGTAAACTTTGTAAAAACTGTGTAAACTATGTAAACTTTGTAAAAACTTTGTAAAACTTTGTAAAGTTCTGTGAAAGAAGTGTTTTTGCACGATTTTTTAATTGAAAAGAAGTGTTTTTCATGTCATTTGTTGTAAACACAAGTGTTTTTCACCAGCCATTTGCAAACTTTGCAAAAACTTTGTAAACTTTGTAAAAACTTTGTAAACTTTGTAAAAACT